TGTATATTTGTAAGTAATAAAATACTGTAGAAATAAAATAAAATATAAACAATTAAATTTATTTAATTTTTAAAAAATATTACTAATATAAAAATTTCCTCGAACAATAAAATTAATATAAAATAATTTATTTATTTTGTAAGACGAAACAAAGGGAAGTTATTGACTTTTGAACCTTCTCCAATTACTAAATGACATGTGAAGATTCTATCATACATAATGATTAAAGAATTAAAGAAGATATCTAAGTAAATTCTTTTAATATAAATACAATATAAATTTAAAAAAATAATTAGATAATTAATTATATTTTCTATAATTTAAACACATTAAATTTCTCCCAAATCTAATCATTTTTGTGTTAATTTAATCATTTCTTTTAAGTGACAAATGATTGATGTTTTATATATTAAACAATTCATTTTGCTTAAGTAATGATTATTTTATGAAATTTCGAAATAATTTCGTGCCTAAAAGCGGTAATTGTTCAATGGAATTATTTACCCCTCTTAAAATTAGTACTGTTAAATCCAATTTCATAGTTGATGCAGTTTACAATTAATGAAACTGCTTAAAAATGATATGTTGGGTTGAGAAAGTGCTCCTAAATTTAATGAATTTGTTAAATTTTAGAGAATTTTCACAGATAAAAGGTGTAAGTTTTCGATGGAATTTATTCTAGCAAAATTAATGTTGCTGATTTTAATGCTAACAGATTTAATTTCTTAGTTAAACTATTTTCGTAGTTTTATTATTGAAAAGTTCTTTAAGTCAAGCCGTTATTCATTAAATCATAATTAAAATACTAAATAAATAATTTATTTATTAACTATTATAAATTTTCATTCCAATTAAGTGATCATTTTTGCAGAATGAAATATAGGCTACAGATACCATGCCCAAGTCACTAAATCGTGATTATGCATAATTACGTCAATTTTTGACCACCCTGTACATTTCATTCCACAAAGAACATCACTTAATTGGAATTAAAATCTGTAATACAGTAATTAAAAAAATTATCCAAAAATCAGTTAACCGAAACATAAAAACGCAATTAACTGGGTTAAATGACCTTTGGGCCATCTTGTATTCTATATGTGACTTGGAAGAATAAGGACCAATGTCAGGGATATTCGCCTTTGACATTGGCCCTTATCCTTCAAGTCGCAGACATAAATCTAAATTTTGTTTTACTTAAATATTTATATTTTTATTTATTATTTAAAAACAAAATGAATCAGTAATAAACATCGAGGATATCGCAAAGAATCATTTTGCAAATACAGTATTATTAATTTTTTTTCCGAGAAGAATTACAAAGAAGTAGCCTTTGGAATGACTTGTGTACATTCAAAGTACGAAAGTGTTACTTCTCTCCAATTGATAATTACTTGGAATCTGGTTGGATATTTATTATCTTTTATTATAAAACTAAGCCCCCTTTCTATCTACTTTATTCTAATATAGCTATATATAGAAAACGCTGATACTAATATTTTAATTTATTTCATATCTTATAAACTAAATTAAAAACAAATACATAAAATAATATTAATTTATGAGAATAAAATTAAATTATTTTTGCATTTAAGAGCTTAAAAAATGCACAAAAATATTCTCTGAAAAAATGCAGAGGATTAAAGATGCTGAAGATAAAAGATGCTAATGAAGTAAAATTATTGCAGCAAAAATTGATATTATTATTATTTTTTTTTTTTGGTAAAAATTAATATTTTTAAAGAGAATTTAATAATGTATAATAAATGNAATAACCTCATTAGATTGAATTTGATATTAAGAATTGATGTAATTGTGTTTAAAATTTGTTTTAAATTTTTTTAACGTTATCAGCGTATAATTTTTTATAAAATAATTATTATTATAATAATTGTTCATATTCTGAAGATAAATATCTGGAGAATTTATTACATTTTCATATAATATAATCAAAGTGTGACGAAAATACAAACGATAAAGTTCATAAAGGCGAATCTCTCGTTAATGGTATCAAAACTTTGGCAGATAATTTTATAAATTCAGAATTATAAATAAATTTTAGATAAACGGAGAAGAAAATTAGTCACTTAAAAATAGTCATTTGGAAGAAATTTATAAATTACCTTAAAAAATTCAAATTCATCCATTCGACGTGAAGAACATGGAGGAAGATGAAGACGTTTTGACTTCGTTTAGATGAAGAAAAAGAGGATCAAAAAGCGAAAAATCCATGGAGTGGTAAAGAAAATGACATTCTATTGAATAGAATGTTTGCTTTTGTTCTTCCCACTTCCTCGATATAACGTTTTATCTTATATTTATTCGTTTCTAAACTTAGTTTTTACTTTAACGACTTTGACCAGATTCAAAGATAAAAAGTTTATATTGATTTCGTCAATCGACGTATATCACCTGTACTGATGACTTGTATATTATTTGCCATGTAAATATTGTAAATATAATAATAATAATAATATAAAACAAAATGAAATTTGATCCCTTGTCCAATTTAATTTGTAACGATAATCAAGGTTGGAGAATTACGATATCGTCTTTCCTCAATACTTCCCCCTTCTCTTTTTAAGAAAAGAATTTTTCTTGTAAGAAACTATAATTTATTTTGTAAATAAAATATTTCCATATTCCTCTGCTTTATACCCTACGTCATCTATATACTACATAACACTATTTCATACAATATGTAGATAATAAATGTATATTTCCTACATTATATATTCTTATATTCTATACCTTACACCATATAAATATACTGTAGAAAATATAGAACTAGGATATTATTTTAATATCTCTATATTTCTTATACTTATAATATAATAAAGTATATAGGAAAGAATATTATCACTCTCTTTCCTATATTCTTCCTATACTGCAACTAATGATCTTGTAAGAATGTCACGACTCAAGTTTTTAAAAATAGCAATATTTTTCTAATTTACAGTATAAAAAATATTCATAGAATTTAATTTTAAAAAATATTAAAATTATTAATATTTATATAATTATTTACTTAATTTAAATTTAATTTGAATGACCCCAAGTTGAGTTGTGCTGTAGAATTAAGCATGCTACAATATTAAGAATGGTTAATTGTGCTTGATGTATTTAAGAGATATAATAGGGAGGAAATGGTACGATTTGAAGTATTTTTAATATATGTGATCTGAAAATAACTTCATTGCTGCACGACCAGATGATCTAAAAATAAATTCGTCCCAAATTGATTATTACGTGACGTTTGCCACATTATCCACCCTACAAAAAAGTGGTAAATTCGGGTTTACAACTGAATTTAAATGATCGTTTCGTTAAAAAATAAAATGGCTTAATTGTAAGAAATGTAATAATAATATTTAATATATCTATTTTTAAAATAATTAATTTTCTTTCGTTCTAAATTTCATAAATGATATAATTTATTGCAGTTATGACAAATTGGTGTGTAGTAACTACGTTATTGTATCGTAACGTAGATTTATATAAAGATTTAAAGATTAATTTTATCGTTCTATTATCAGATAAAATTATATTAAAGAAAATAAAAATTAGAGAAGATTCCTGTTATTTAGATAAAATTGAATTATAGGCTATATATTAATTGAAATCTTTATTTAAATATATGAAATCATTTCAACTTGCTGGCTGAATTAGGTAATATAATATGTTAATGTTAATTACATAATTGGAATTAAGAATTTAAGAAACTAAAGATGAAAAATTTTAAAGGTTTAAGAGCCTCAAGAGACTCTTAAACCTTTAAAATTACTCGCTGAACCTGAACCTGAACAGTCAAATTGGAGGCCTTTCAGTTTTAGGTCCATATAAAATAATCTCTTGTAGGGTCTAGTTGAAAGTACCATTAGATAACGGCATAAAACTAGAATTATGCGGCACAAAATATCACGAGGGATTTAAAAACTTTCCAAATCACAATAATTCACACTTAAATTGTTTAGAAATATTTTGAAACGCAAATATTAATGTAGATGAAATCAATTTACTACATTTTATTATCAATTAAGTAACAAAAATTGGTATTTAACAATTCAGAAAATTACAGTTAATTTAGGAAAATTAAAAATAATTCATATTTAAAAATCCAACATCTTCGTCTATATTAATTTATAACTTTATAAATATATTTTTTAATAATTTGTACTAATATAAGCAAGTAATAATAAATTTGGAACTCCATATTATAATTTTACTGATGAACAGCATTCATTAAAAATTCAATTAAGAAACTATTTCACCAAATAATGTAATTTCGATAATTTTCAAGGATTAAATAATAGTGTGTTACTAATAAATATATTGATAATAATAATAAACGTAATTTACTGACAAATATTTATTAGCAACATAAACCATTATTTAATCCTTAAAAATTACAGATATTACATTATTTGATGAAATAATTTTTAGAAAAATTATTTATTCTACAATAAATGAATTGCACGATTGCAGATCTGAAATAGTATCGCAATTATAAATAAATGTAACCACTCCGGAGTAATTTACATTCCTCTGAATAAACTCCTTCTTACTCTAGACAAATAATTGTCTAGGTTACTGGAATCATTCCTACTTTTGATATTTTAAGCAGTATTCATGAGACTAAAGGATAATGGATGAGTCAAAATTGGTGTTACAAATAAAAATCCAACCTTTACACTTAAACAAACGATGACATTGTTTGGCAAAAGAAAGTCGGTTAGTTGCGGTTACTATGACTAAAACTAACAAAACAATATGTAAATTACTTGGAAATGTGTTATTCTGAAACTTAATACTTCAAGTTGTTCCAAAAAGTTCGAATTTCCAAACTCTGCACTCACCCATGCAGTGAGAATTTAAAGAAGGGTTCCCCGAACATAGAGAAGCCAGAATTTATTCTTTATGTAAAGTATATGATAAAAAAGTGAATTCGTGACTACTCCAAGCCTTTTCATCTATCTCAGGTTCTGGCCTTATCAACTTTAAGAGTCTCAAATAAATGGATTAGAGTTCTTAAACTGGGGATATCCAAGGACTTACTCTATTCCCCAGCTTATGAAACCCAAACAGTAATAATTTTACAATATATTAAATTCCATTTATAAATATTTTTCGAAAGGTCTCCAAATTAATTGGCGATTAGGATCACAAGAAACGTTCATTAATCACTGTATTCACGTTATACACTAACAAAAATTAATGTATTTGCATAATCGATTTAAATTTAAATAAATCAAATTACATGACGTATAACGAGATAAAATTTCGATTAATTTTTTAGATATTTTAAATATGTAGAAATTTAACTTATTAAATGCCTAAACTATGCCACCTGTAATACCGAGAAGAGCGTGGAAGGTACAGTATAGGCATTATATACTCAAGTGATGACGTTAAGCACGTTGAAATTATATATAGTATACATTAAATTATATTTTAAAATATTTAAAACCTATTATATTTTCTTACTTTACCATTACATACAAATGTACTGTACGTTTAACAAAAAGGTTATTTAATTACACATACATCGAGGAAGAAGAGTGAAGTGAATAACTGATTATACAAGTTATTATATAACACTTTAATTCATTACACGCCTTGTTTACGAATTTTAAGAATATATTGACTTATACAAAATAAAAGTTTAATTTCCTCATGAATTTATATAATTAAATTGCGAAGAAAATAAGGAAAAATAAATTAACTTAATTTATGTATTTCCTGTTGAATAAAATTAATAAAAATCATTACTTTAACATAAAATATGAAAACAAATTGGTAAGTAATTATTTTTAAATTCGATTTTTTAAAATAATTATTTTATTTTAAAAAATTTTATACAAGTGATAAAGTTGAGGAAAATTACTTATTTTAGAATTCTAAATATTTTCCTTAATTTCATCACCTAGAATATTATTAAAATAATAATAAAATATAGGAAGTAGTGAATAAATTATGCAAATTATTCTTATATTTATGTAAAACTAAAGTAAATAATAATTAATTTCATATTATTAAAGTGACTTTGATGAGATTGCAAGAGAAACAAATCAGGAGAAAATATTTTAGATTTCAAGATACTCTTTCCATAAATTCATTATTAAAATAATGATAAAATATAGAAAAATAATTAATAAAAATTATGCAAATTATCCTTCTATTTACACAAAATTAAAGTGAAAGAGAATTAATTTTATATAATTGAAGTGACTTACTTTGATGTGATTGTAAGACAAGCAAATCAACTTCTGTCTAACAGCATTGAAAAGGAAGAAAACATAAAAGATCTAGCAATTATTTTGTTCTTTTTTTTGCGTAAAGAAAGGTTAACGAAATGACGTCAAATTAAAGTAAACTTATCAAGCAATTGAGTGTAATTATATATTTTTAAAAAAGCAGACAGATGCAACAATATCTCGGAATTTTATTAATTAAAATTTTCATTTTAATTATCATTACTTCGAAATTTAAAAAAAAAATGAACAATCAGCCTGTTTGTTCGTAAATTTATTTTATAATTATGTAATATAATATTTATAATTTAAGCAATCTTCTCACTCCACCCTTTAATATATACTACAGTATAATGATTATAACACATACCAAAGGGGTGGGGATGTATTATATATTTATAGCATAAACTCGTTCTTTATATAAGTGTAAATTTTTATATAAATAATAACAAAAAAAAACTAACAAATTTTTGACCTATTAATTAAAATTGTAACGTTCAAAAATAAATTATTTATGCACTTATACTTACAATTTCTTGATTAGGTTACTGGTTACAACCTATATATATATATATATATAAGTTACGAACAATATAATAATGTATTATCTGTTGTTTAAAGATTTATATTAACATATGCCAAAGATTTTGATTGGATAAAATTCAATTTTGACTGTTTTATCGCTGGAATATTTAAAGAGATAACGAAGAACGACACGTTGTTATATAGTGAAAGACTTTAATCACGTGTAAATAGTAGAAAAATGGCGCAAGCGTGTTGAATGTAAACGTTGAACATCTCAAGGCTAACGAGTTATAGTGTTACTCCTAGACCTGTTTAGTGAATTCGTAAACAACCATATTCATCATCACTACACGTAGCATACGTGTGGCATACGACGACTTTCTTTATAACTAATGTATGTAAATATGCCCTCGTCAGCTGTTACGAACGTCTCGTGTGTCTTCATTAACATTGGACTAGTGGCCTGGAAATTTTTTTAATTTAAAAAAATAAAATATAGGTCGTCCCGAAATGTTTACACTCTTTTAAGTTTACATAATATTTAACAAAGATGGATGCTCCGCTTCTAAAATTTGTAGAAAAGATTATTTAAAAGTTTCATTTTAAGCAGACAAATGTTGTGTCTGTTTGTGTAATTTACTGGAAACTAAACAAAAATTTTGTATCCATGTTTGTCTATTCGTAATATATTTTTTTTTTTAACTAAAACTGTTTTTTTTTTTTAATTGGAGGATGGGCGATAAACGGAGCTTTAGTCAACATATGTAAAGGCCTCTTATGTAATATAGCCTAGTTGTTAAAGTGTCGTCCTAAGTTATAAAATATACGAGGCCTTTCTTCACTATCAAATAATAAATTTAAAAAACGCGAAACCCTAAACTTTAGCCTCATAACGTGAGGCTACAGTACA